GGAAGTCCAGGAAATCATCAGAGACTACTTTGAGAACCTACATTCAAAGAAATTCGAAAATCTTGAAGAAATGGACAGATTTCTAGATACTTATGATCATCCAAAACTGAACCAAGAGGACATTAATCACCTGAATAGATCTATAACACAAAATGAAATTGAAGCAGCAATCAAGACTCTCCCCAAAAAGAAAAGTCCAGGACCTGATGGATTCTCTGCTGAATTCTATCAGACCTTTAAAGAAGAACTAATATCAACCCTCCTTAAACTGTTCCATGAAATAGAAAGGGAAAGAAAACTGCCTAACACATTTTATGAAGCCAGTATTACACTTATCCCAAAACCAGGCAAAGACACCTCCAAAAAGGATAACTATAGGCCAATCTCCTTAACGAACATTGATGCAAAAATCCTCAATAAAATAATGGCAAACCGAATTCAACAACACATCAAAAATATCATTCACCACGACCAAGTAGGCTTAATCCCAGGAATGCAGGGGTGGTTCAACATACGAAAATCATTAAATGTAATAAACCACATTAACAGAAGCAAAGACAAAAACCACTTAATCATCTCAATAGATGCAGAAAAAGCCTTTGATAAGATCCAACACCATTTTATGATAAAAGCTCTAAAAAAACAGGAATAGAAGGAAAGTACCTCAACATTATAAAAGCTATATATGACAAACCTACAGCCAGCATTATACTTAATGGTGAAAAACTGAAACCATTCCCTCTAAAATCAGGAACCAGACAAGGATGCCCACTATCTCCACTCCTATTCAACACAGTACTGGGATTTCTAGCCAGAGCAATTAGGCAAGAAGAAGGAATAAAAGGAATACAAATAGGTAAAGAAACTGTCAAAATATCCCTATTTGCAGATGATATGATCCTATACCTTCAAGACCCAAAAAACTCTACTCAGAAGCTTCTAGACATCATCAATGGCTATAGCAAAGTAGCAGGATATAAAATCAACATAGAAAAATCAATAGCATTTCTATACACTAATAATGAACTGATTAAGAATATATGAAAACAATTCCATTTACAATAGCCTCAAAAAAACCCAAATACCTAGGTGTAAACTTAACAAAAGATGTGAATGACCTCTACAAGGAAAACTATAAACTTCTGAAGAAAGAGACTGAGGAAGACTATAGAAAGTGGAGAGATCTCCCATGCTCATGGATTGGTAGAATCAACATAGTAAAAAATGTCTGTACTCCCAAAAGTATTCTACATGTTTAATGCAATTCCCATCAAAATCCCAATGCCATTTATCAAAGAGATTGAAAAATCTACTGTTAAATTTATATGGAAACACAAGAGGCCACGAATAGCCAAGGCAATACTCAGTCAAAAGAACAATGCAGGAGATATCATGATACCTGACTTCAAACTATATTACAAAGCAATAACAATAAAAACAGCATGGTACTGGCACAAAAACAGACATGAAGACCAGTGAAACAGAATAGAGGACCCGGATATGAAGCCATACAACTATAACCAACTTGTCTTTGACAAAGGCGCTAAAAATATACGATGGAGAAAAGACAGCCTCTTCAACAAAAATAGTTGGGAAAACTGGTTAGCAGTCTGCAAAAAACTGAAATTAGATCTATGTTTATCACCCTGTACTAGTATCTACTCAAAATGGATCAAGGATCTTAATATCAGACCCCAAACTCCAAAGTTGATACAGGAAAGAGTAGGAAATACTCTGGAGTTAGTAGGTATAGGTAAGAACTTTCTCAATGGAACCCCAGCAGCTCAGCAACTAAGAGATAGCATAGATAAATGGGACTTCATAAAACTAAAAAGATTCTGCTCAACAAAAGAAATGGTCTCTAAACTGAAGAGATCACCCACAGGGTGGGAGAAAATATTTGCCAGCTACACATCAAAGGACTGTAACCAGAATATATAGGGAACTCAAAAAACTAAATTCTCCCAAAATTAATGAACCAATAAAGAAATGGGCAAGTGAACTAAACAGAACTTTCTCAAAAGAAGAAATTCAAATGGCCAAAAAACACATGAAAAAATGCTCACCATCCCTAGCAATAAAGGAAACGCAAATTAAAACCACGCTAAGATTCCACCTCACCCCTGTTAGAATAGCCATCATCAGCACACCACAACAGGTGTTGGCGAGGATGCGGGGGAAAAAGGAACCCTGTTACACTGCTGGTGGGAATGTAAACTAGTACAACCACTCTGGAAGAAAATTTGGAGGCTCTTTAAAAATCTAAACATAGATCTATTATATGATCCAGCAATACCACTCTTGGGGATATACCCAAAAGACTGTGACACAGGTTACTCCAGATGCACCTGCACACCCATGTTTACTGCAGCACTATTCACAATAGCCAAGTTATGGAAACAGTCAAGATGCCCCACTACTGACGAATGGATTAAGAAAATGTGGTATCTATACACAAAAGAATTTTATGCAGCCATGAAGAAGAACGAAATGGTATCATTAGCTGGTAAATGGATGGAACTGGAGAACATTATTCTGAGTGAGGTTAGCCTGGCCCAAAAGACCAAAAATCATATGTTCTCCCTCATATGTGGACATTAGATCAAGGGCAAATGTAACAAGGGGATTGGACTTTGACCACATGATAAAACGAGAGCACACAAGGGAGGGGTGAGGATAGGTAAGACACCCAAAAAACTAGATAGCATTTGTTGCCCTCAATGCAGAGAAACTAATGCAGATACTTTAAAGCGACAGAGGCCAATAGGAGAAAGGGGACCAGGAACTAGAGAAAAGGTTAGTTCGAGAAGAATTAACTTAGAAGGTAACACACATGCACAGAAGAACAATGTGAGTCAACTCCTTGTATAGCTATCCTTATCTCAACCAGCAAAAACCCTTGTTCCTTCCTATTATGCTTATACTTTCTCTTCAACAAAATTAGAGATAAGGGCAAAATAGTTTCTGCCTGGTAACAAGGGGTTGGGGGGGGGTAAGGGAGGGTGCGGGGGGGAAAGGGGGGAGAAATGACCCAAACATTGTATGTACATATGAATAAAAAAAATAAAATAAAATGCCCACTTTCCCACAAAAATTATGAAGCATGCAAAAAAAAAAAAAAAAAAAAGGTCAGGCAGGAGTAAAAGCAGACATCAGAAGCTGCTGGGAGAGTGACCAAGAATTGGATTTACCATAAAGAGACGTCAAAGCAGCCATTACAAACAGGTTCAAGGGGCAATGTCACATCACACAGAGACTATCAGTAAGAGAGAAAATATATGTCATGTGGAAATTCTGAAGTTTAAAAGTGCAAGGAAGGGATCAGCCATAGATAGGAATCACAGAAGAAAGAATAAGCCAAGTTGAAGATAGAGAGGACATGTGAACCAAAGAACAGAGAATAAATAGTAAAGAAAAATGAAGAGGCTGACAAAATCTCAGAAGCAGTAAAACGCAACCAACTCCTTACTCCGCAGGGAGGGAACCTCAAGAGATGAGCCACTGACTTTTCAGCAGAAACAGTAAAAGCCGACAGTGACATCTTCATCGTTCAAACACTGAAAAGGAAAAACCTCTAACCAAAAATCCAATATCCTGCAAAGCTATCCCTCAGAAATGCAGACAAAATAAATTTCCAGATAAACAAAGGCTGACCGAGTTTGTTGCCTGCAGATTCACTTTCCAAGAAATACTTAAGGAAGTTCTTCAGGGTGAAGCCAGTGACCACATACACTAATTTAAACCCACACAAAGAAAGAGTCCAGGTCACGGTAATAACGTCCTTATGCCAGATACTTCACAAGTGTGTTTCCCTTCTTCTCTCACATTGTTATATGCACAACAATGTGCATATAATACAAACAGAAGCGCATGACACTTACAAATCACAGAACAAGGAAGGGAGCAGGAGCAAAGCCCTAAGGGACTAAGGAAGTGACTGCAGATGTAAGGTCGTAATTGCAGTGCTGGTAGCATTAGTAGATAACGTATAACGAAATGACTGGCTCAAGTGGTAGAGTGCCTGCCTAGCAAGTGTGAAGCCCTGAGTTAAGACCCTGATCCCACCAAAAAAAAAAAAAAAAAAAATCACAAAAAATAGGTCAAGAAAAAAAGAGCTGTATGAGTAACACTTCTGCATCTCACCGAAATTAGGAGAGTACAACTCTGAAGTTGATGCAGTTAAAATACTGTGAAAATATTAAACTAAAATGCTAATTAGAAAAGATTTATGCAAAGGAACAACGGGGGGGGGGGGGGAGGACGACAAAACGGGATACCAAGAGAGCTGAAAAATGGCCAGTGTAACTGTTAACATCACTACACGTGAACGGCTTAAACGATTCAACCACGACTGCCTGCATTGTAAAGAGATCCAGCTGTGCAGGGGCTGCAGAAGATACATTGTAGACTAAAAGTCACAAGTAAGGCTGGGTGACGGGGCAGTCAGAGGAGAAGGCAAGAGGACTGCAGGCTTGAGGCCAGCCTGTGCTACACAGCCAGAGCTTATCTCAAAAAAAAAAAAAAAAAAAAGCCACTAGCAAAAGGTGTTTCAATTCTGGTCAAAGGCCCCTTGGGGGCTGGTGCTTTGGTCCCCACTTCCCCCTCCCCAAGAGCAACCCCTATGCAGCTGGCTGGCCATACGCCCGCCGCCACGCCCTGGGGTGGCTCCCTTCCCACTGCACTTGGCAGGTGACACAATGGTGGGCCTGGCTGAGGTCACGTGCTGAAGCTCGTCCATGGGGGGGCAGCAATTGAGGGACAGATCTGCGAGCGGCCTCCCCTCCCCGGGGAGCAGAGCACAGTACCAGCCAGGGGGTGTGGGTGGAGCCCTTTCCCTGGGCGTGGCCTGGGAACCCCGTTCCCGGGGGGCGCGGCCGGGAATCCCCACTCCCGGGGGCGAGGCTAGGCATAGGCCGCCGCTCGGCGCAGGCATTCGGGTCCCCCTGCTCCCCCGGACAGCGGGAGGCCCGGCGCCCGTCCGCTCGGCCTTGGCCCCTCACCTTCCTGCTCCTCATGAGTGTGAGCGGAGCCGCCGCCCCGCGCCCCGGCCTAACGCTTCTCAGCAGCGCCCCAACCCCGCGGCCCTCAGCGCGCGCCTCCACGACCCCTGACGTCACTACAGGGTGGCCAATCACCGCCCGGCGTCCTGAGACACGTGACCCAACAAATTAGTTCTTTCCGTACGTAGGCGGGGAGCAGCCGGGAGGACTTAGTGCGTGGGGGGGCGGGGGGAAGAGGACGTCAGAACCGGAAGTCCGGCGGCCTGCGGGTCAAGTTCGTAAAGGGCGTCACCATTGACGCCATGTTTGAGAGGGGCAGTTTTCTGTGCGCGTTTATGGACGTGTCCCGAGCTGCTAACTCGCCCCGGCAGTGTCTGCGAAGCCCGGGAAGGGGTCTCTTCCGCCCTCGCACGAGGATGGGACGACGTCCCCAGGAGGGCGCCGACCTCGGAGTGGGCGGAGAACGCGGCCGCTCTTGTCGGTCCCCAAGAGGGCGCAGCTTCTGTAGGTTTGCTCTGCACCCCGACCCTTGTCCAGGTCCCGCAGGCGGCCACGCCTCCCGGTCCTCCCGAGCCAGAGGCCTCCTGCCGTTTTGAATTAAAACGAAGCTCAGCCTTGGCCTCCATCTCCAACCGCACCCCTCGTCTCCGAGCTGCCGCTGCTCCGGGCGCCGCACTCAGCATCCCGAGCTGCGCGCCCGAAATGGATGAGACATTTTCCCTTTTTTGTCATTTTACAGGTGGGAGCGTTCAAGTCCGGCAGTTTGGTCAGAAGCATTAGGGTTTCCAGTGCAGCCATCAAGGTTGCAAAGTGAATTGCTGCAGGGCCCTCTGCCCCGCCCCCCGCAGCCTTGGCTAGCAGAGGTGTCAGTCGCCCGTCCTCTAAAGCACTAACGTTCCCCGCCGAGACCCGCGGCCCTTGCCTCTTAGTGCATAAAGAGTGCGCGGGGCAAGGATCCTAAGCTCTTCTTTACCAACGCGCCATCAGGTTAACCAGATGGAGCCGCTGAAATTAGGCTGCTAGGAGAATCTGGCTTTTGCAGGCAGCTAAGACACTTGCAGTTCTCGTGCGCGCTCGGTGCCCTCCCTTGTCCGGGTTGTACCCGTGATGTATGTGGAAGGGAACCGACAGATGAGGGACTGGCAGGAAATCTGTTTGAAAGGAAATTAACGTAATCGCTGCCAGCTGTTGAGAACCAGCGAGGTACTGGATTCCACACCTCATCTCGCTGAGGTCCGTTTCGTAACACGCTTGGCTCAGTGGTTCGCTGAGTCCTTCAGAGTTTCCGTAAGCTAGGGCTCGACTGCAGAAGCCACTTTCTGCTTCTCCCTGTGTCTGCGCTTAGTGTCAGATGGTGTTCTGACCGCTAATCAGTCGAAAATGCTCTTCGACCTCTCATCAGCTGCTTGGTATTTGTCAAAGGCAAATACTGCACTGTGGACATAACCGGTGATTAAGCAGTGAATTTGTGGTATGGGCAACCATACAAATTCCTCGGAATCCGCAATCCTTGGTCTCGCTGAATGTTTTGTCAGCACCACCATCCATTCCACAAATGTTATTCAGACAGCACTCAGGAGCTAAGGCAGCAGGATGGCAAGTTCGAGGCCAGCATGGGCCACTGAGCAAGATCCAATCTCAAATTTTTAAAAGGGAGAAAGGAGATAGGGGGGTGGCTCAGTGGTAGAGCACTTGCCTATGGGAATATGAGATCCTGAGTTCAATCCCAATACCAAAGGAAAAAAAAATGTTATTCATGGCACGACCAGCAAGTCCAGCCACTGTGCTGGACCCATGTCCTCCAGGCTTACAGTCTGTGTGGGAGACAACTGCACACAGCCACGTGTGGACCTCTCTCATGTTGGTGGTAAGATTACTGTGCTCTTCATCCTGGAAGAGCAGGGGCACAGGTGATTGGAAATAAAGAAACAAAGTGGACATGGGGAACCCAGAGAGCCTTGCCAGGGAAGGCAGCTGCAGTTCTGTTTGGAACTCTTACAACCCAGCAACAAGGGAGGAGAGGAGAAAGAGGGTGAATTCCAGAAAGGCCTCTCCCCATCTTCAGTACCTTCCTGCCTCCTCAGAGGGTGACCTGTCCAGCCCAGAGGGCTTCTGGACCTCAGTTACTTCTGAAGAGTCCCTGCATGTTTTCTCCTGGTGGGCCCAGAAGGGTGGAGGTTGTCAGGTAGCAATTAGCCATCAGTGATGGGGAGATGAAAAAGAACTTGAAGAATTCTTCAAGGTCTCCGAGAGAAACACACTACCATTAAACTTTCTAACGTTCACAGTCCCTTTCAGGATCTAAGTGGCCCACCAAGGCCATGGGCTATCACAGGATGCTTCATGTTGGCAATAATGGCACCAATAGGTTTCGGTTCTTACTGCATCCTTAAGCTTCTGTTTCCCAGGGTCACGGTCCTGCCTCAAGTTGAACTTGAATTCTCCTGCCCCAATCTCCAATCAGCATGAACCATAAATCCTAACCAATCAGATCATGCCAAGTCTCACTGAGGGGTATTTAAGCCCCTGCCCCCCCACCCCCCTCTTGGCTCTCTTCCTCTCCCAAGAATCTCTTGGCCAGATCACTCCTCTCCGCGTGGTCACTTTTGGGGCCTACACTTCAAGTCCACCACTCACCTAAAGAGCTTAATCCTTTCTTTAACTCAGGAGTAAAACCACACCCTAGGCTCAGATGAACCGGGCTGGAAAATTTCACACAGGTAATCTCTTTAAATTTTTAATCTATCGTTTTCATTATTGTGCTGGGGGGGTACACTGTGACATTTACACAGTTTTTTATAATATATCATAGTTGAATTTCACCCGTCCATCATTCTCCTTTATCCCCCTCCTGGTTATCTCTTTAATTTAGCAAGAAAAAGGCATAAACTTCAGGAGCTTCCTAGGCATCAGGTGGTCTGGGGCTGGGAATTTCACATATGTAATCTCTTTAATTTAGCAAGACAAAGACTCAGGTCCATAGGCTGCATCTAGGGGTCAGATGGACCTGGGCTGAGAATTCCTCAATATACATTCCAGCCTCAAACACTGATACTGTGTTCTCACTCAGAGATAACCCACTTTCTGTGTATTGAAGATGTACTCCTCTCCTAGTAAATTTTGCTCTCATTTTCACTATACTGTGTTTTCCTGTAATCTTCCTCTCGCCAGATGCAAGGATTGAGGTAGATGGTGTGCTGACTTTCTGGTAAAACAAAGTCAGCATCCTAAAAGATGCTAGGTTTTCCTCGCAGGAGTGCTCTATTGCTCACTCATTCCCAGCCAGGGATGGGAATGGTTTTTGGAGCAGGCAGCTCAGGCCCCACCCCAGGGCCCCTTGACATTCCTTTCCCTCCCTCTCTTCTTCTCTCCTCCCTCCATCTCTCTCTCTGTCTCTCTTTCTCTCTCTTTGTCCACAACCCAATTAATTCCTGTTAATTCTAGAACTGGTCCTTCCCCTCCTCTGCTCTGCTCTGTGCCTGGGCTGAGATAATCACCAATCAATGGTAGAGGAGCCTGCTAAACCTCTTCTGTGCTTCCCATGCTCAGGGATTAAGGCTGACAGTCTGAAATGGGATCTATGAACTTAGCCTGGCACCCGTACATAGTAGGCACTGGCTGAATGTATGCTGACTGACTATGTGTGAGGCCCTTTGGACTTGCCGGTTGTGTTCTCAGGAAGGTGTGACCAGATGCCCTTCTGCCAGATTTAATGTTACAGCTTTTTAGCTTTTCTTCCTTTTCTATCTGGACATGGTAGTAGGCTGAGCACTTTTGTTTGTTTCCATTTTTAGAGCAAGGCTCATTCATTCATTCATTCATTCAGTGAACTTCACTGAGCTCCCATTGTGGACCCAGGACAGGGGCCAGGAGTTGGGGTTACAGTGATGGCCTGAGTCTCCCTGTTTGCCTTTTAGAGATTGATTTGGACCAGGGGAGTATGGATATTATTGCAACAGTCACATAAAGAACTTTACTTTTCAGTGAGTCACATGGGAAAAGCTACATGGAGTGGATTGGGACATCAGATCTATTCAGGGAGGTCAGAGGAGGCCCCTTGGTAACTGGGGATCATCTTTTCCTTCCTCCACCCTTCTGGGCCCACCAGGAGAAAACATGCGGGACTCTTCAGAAGTAACTGAGGTCCAGAAGCCTCTGGGCTGGAAGGTCACCCTCTGAGGAGGCAGGAAGGTACTGAAGATGGGGAAGAGGCCTTTCTGGAATTCACCCTCCTCCTTCTCCTCTCCTCCCTTGTTGCTGGGTTGTAAGAGTTCCAAACAGAACTGCAGCTGCCTTCCCTGGCAAGGCTCTCTGGGTTCCTCATGTCCACTTTGTTTCTTTATTTCCAATCACCTGTGCCCCTGCTCTTCCAGGATGAAGAGCACAGTAATCTTACCACCACACATGAGAGAGGTCCACACGTGGCTGTGTGCAGTTGTCTCCCACACAGACTGTAAGCCTGGAGGACATGGGTCCAGCCACAGTGGCTGGACTTGCTGGTCGT